ATCTTGGCACACCTCACATTCGTACATTAAAGGCAAACGGGATTCACTGTAGCCTACATTCTCTATCTCCTACCCGGATCCCTATGTGACTCCTTTTTTGATGTGTAACGATTCATCTATGTAAACATCCTATGGGACAAGAGAAGCACCAGCTTGTAAGCTATTCCCATAATAAAACTTTGACTTTGTTACATGACGGTCACGTTGTACACATACAGCAGTGTTCAGTGTCTGTTCTCTCTATGCACTCATCACTGTGCGCTATCCGTCTGACCTATCTCATCGGGTAGAGGTCGCTGTGAAACCGTATTATATACCCAGATCACTTATTTTACTTTTACAACCATCAACCGTGAACCTCCGAGAGACGGCTTTGGTTACTGTCTCTTGACTGTTGAAGAGAAAACATTTGGTAAACTGAGAGGATGTACGAGTATCACTGTTTACGACACTCAGCCACATTCCAATGTCCCCATCCAGGGAGCTTGACGCGATCTACCCGACCTGACCTGATATCCTGGTCAGGGTTTTCATAAAATTATACCAGGTCTTAGTTTGACTACCCTTGAATTTTTTACCTATTCATTAACTCGGCACATATCGCATACCGTGTCAGTCTATATATGCGGAGCAAATACCCCCACTATAGTAACCTAGGTCAAGGACGAAACCTAACTCCGCATAGATGGAGCTAGAAAAGTCTTCCTGTAACACTGAGGACCGCAGCGAGATTACCCTGTATATCAAGGTTCCTTCGGTGGGGAAACATGGCCGCTTAGAGTATATGATACAAGGAAGCTAGAGTTCTTTGGTCATTGGTGCTTGTGCTGCACCTCGGGTATCTCCTGATGAGGTTCAACAGCGATGCTCGAACATCGACAGGCTTACTCAAATGCTACAACGCTGGTGCATCCAGAGGTTTGTTTACAAGTTCCGATGGCTTGATAATCAACTCTCACGCCAGACTTTAGTTCCCGCGTGGGCGACGTTGCCGACTGTGGTCACCTGCAGACTTGGAGCAATACGATCAAGGCGAATATGGAAAGACTGGACCTCCAATCCGTTCTTGAAACTAGTAGCTGGAACCAGAACCAGATCTCGTACTGCGCCAACCTTGTCGCCGATCGCCGCGCGTGGACAGCCATCGTCAGAAAGATCCAAGAAGCACACATCCGCACGCAGGAGTTGATCGCTCGAAAGTAAAAATGTGCAGTAAGTAAACGCGGTGTAGAAAGTCTATTTCGCACACCAACCGCTTGTTTCTATCCTGTCCCCACAATTGTCAAGTGTCTGCATCGTATAGCAGCGCTGGTTGAACGCTACATCGACCCTTTACAGACAACCGGCTGTCGCGACGGCACCAGAGATGTCTCAAACTGGTAAATGTCAATCAGGGCTTCTGTATGCGAGCCGGTGCTTCCTTCGAGCTTTGTCATCTAGGTAAGATCTGGCGGTCCAATAGCAAAATTAATCTATTGTACTTTTACTTCCCAGTTCGAATGAGGTCGGGAGCTGGAACAACCCAGTCCTGCAGGAGCATTTTACACTTTGAAGGTGCCAAACGTATGCCGGACATGGTCATAACCATCGTCACCGTACAGCGAAAGACCGTGAATCAAACATTGCTGATTGCCGCCAAGCTCACAACGTACAAGAGGGTTTGGTCTCAACCGGAGGGACACAAGGAAAATGAATCTATTTGTTCGACACCAAAAGTACGCAGTTCAACTATGCTTGCACGCTTTTTCTGATCTGATGATAAATAGAAACAAGAACTGTTATTGGTTCACTGTCATATCCTTCAGTCTCCAACCAACGAGTTAGAATCCAATCTAGAAGACGGAAGGCACTACCTAAGCGCTTTGTGCGTTTCTTCATGCCTCGATTTCAGGTCATCTGTTGACCTCCATGTGGCTCACTCCAAGCCGGAGCGAATATGGTGAGATGGGGTAGACGGTAGCTGGACATATGCAATACGTGTCCCAGACAGTGAAGTCTACTAATCTGAATTCGATGCAAGCAGGTTTATACCTGATATACTTTCAAACACACGACGGCTTTCCTCCAGATTGCTAACCCGCTCGCTTCATCCAAGCATGGGATAAACTAAGTAAACACCGATGGTCGAAAACCTCAGGTCAACGGATATCTACTCGCAAATTCAAGGTCTCGCAACCATTAAGCAAGACTGAACGGAAGCTAACACAATATTCACGACCTTTCAACTTCAGTGAAACGTCGCGCTCACGCCAAAGGTGTTTCAGTCTTACGTATGCTGCTCGAGCCTTGGAAATGTGAACGGCTACCTTCTTTGCTGCGCTTCCGTCATTGGTCACGCAACTACCTTAGTACGAAAAGTAACCCACTATAATTCCTGGCCATTTATTTTCGAAGCGGGAGTCCTGGAGCACCACTTTGCACTTTCGGGTGCAAAGCACATACTGAATGTGGCAACCGTACTTGTTAATCTATCAAGTGCGCTTTGAGAGTCCCCCATACATTAGAACAGACATACGATGTCATCGGTGTACTCTAAATAGCACAGTTTTTCTCCACCTGCCCATTCAACATTCAAC